AAAAAAAAAATAATTAGGATAATACTAATAATTGATTAGTCACTAATCAAATTTATGATATTAAAATAAAAAAATAAAATAAAATAATACAAATTCCATTACATAAATTTTTTTTTACACTTAATAAACTTTAATATCTGACATTGACTACATATCCAATTACATTTTTTCCCCTAATAAAATTTAATATCCACATTGAAAAGTATGAATCTTTTTCATTTACATAAAACTGTTTCTTATAAAAATTAATATAAAAATAATAATTAAAAAATATTCAGAAATTGATAAATTGTTAGGATAGTATTTCTAAGTCATTAATCAAATTTCTGATATTAAAAAAAAACTAAGACATTCTCAAACTTTACTTTAATTGACTTAATTTTTTATTATTTTTCAATTAACCTTTCACACAGACTGACACTGATAATATAATTAAATACACTAAGTGTAATATAATTATTTTTTTTTTTAAATAAAATTAATTAGACAGACAATTTTTTTCACTAGTGTTCAAGTTTTGGACCCCAGTGCATAAAAAATATAAATATATTTATAAAAGAAATTGGTAATTCATTATGAGATTCAATGTGCCATTCAACAGGGTGTAAAGATGCACAAAAAAAGCCAAAAACTTTTTTTGCAATCAGTGAGGACAGTATGTAACAAATCCAAAAATCCTTCCAAAGCAAGACTCAAGTGTAAAACATGCACAGGCGTCATGGTCTTGACATCAGTTTATAAAAACTAATTGAAAAAAATCACTAGACCATATGAACTGTGTCCATGGATGCCACATGCTACTTATATTCCAAAGTCTGTCTGGACGTCTTACCCACGGGGGTCCTGGTCTGACCGCAGGGCTCCAGGAAGCTGGTCTGCTGCTCAGTGAAGCCCTCACAGGAGGCTGAGCTCGTCAGGCTGAGACCGGGGGGCAGAACCGGACTGTGGACGAGACCTGCCAATGTGGGAAAACGTGCCAGCACCATCCGCCTAGAGGAGCCCAGCCACACACACATGCACACACAGACACAAGAGAACCGCTAGCACCTGTTCTAGAGCAAACCTTCAGCTTGAGCGTGTGTTATGATCAGGTGTTAATCACCCTGGTGTCATTAAGCCATGCTCAGATGCCTGAGGTTAAGAGGAGCATGTGTTTATGAGGTTATAACACACACAGCCACGGCTTTACCTGTAATCTGTGTGTGTGTGTGTGTCTCAGTTGACGCCGATCTGGAGTGAGAATATCCAGGCATGTCAGAGAGTTTACCGTGTGTGTGTGTGTGTGTGTTTGTGTGTGTGTGTGAAACCCTTGTCTCATGTCCCTTTCTTTCAAATTGACATTGACTAGCACAGTTATTAAAAAAAAAAACTGTACACATATTACTTGCCAGAACAATTACTCCTCAGATGTTACAACACAATGGCATTATTTCATAGTACTTTATAATTACTTCACTAATTCATAGGTTCCTTTATAATACACTCTTTAAATGTTACTAATTGGGCTTGGATGAAAGAGAAACTCACTGTAGCAGGTTGATGGGAAGGAAAGGGTTAAAGTTCTCCAGGCTGTCAGCCTGCAGGGCGGTGAGGAGCGAGGCTGTGAGGTCATTGGTGGAGGGTGAAGCTGATTGGCCGAAGATGGCGGTGCCTTCAGAGCCGTTGCTGTAAAGCGAGACTGAACTGGAGGATTTGGACACGGGCTGAGAGGACGAGTGACCTCCGGAATCTGTGTAGACAGACACAACAGAACAAAGAGTGCAATTAATGAATATACAAAAAACAAACAAATATTACATTAAAAGCCTACGTTAATATTATTATTAGTAGTAGTAGTAGAAGTAGATATTATTATAGACTTTTTCCTTTCTAAGCTACATGAAATGCTACTGCTACTACTATTAAATTATTATACTAAAGTTACTAAATTAAATTATTAAATATATTAAGTAATTAAAAAAATAAACTAATGATCATGAGTTTTTGTACATTTTTGTGTATTATTATTTTTTACAGACTTTCTGCCTTCTAAAAGTTCAAAGTTAAAATTAAAAGTTAGTAAATTATATTCATAAATTTAAAAACAAATAAACATTAGTAATAATAATTTATTACTATTAGCTATTTTTCCAGACGTTTGTCTTTCTAAGCTATATGAAAAACTACTACTATTAATAATAATAATAATAATAATAATAACAATAATAATAAATTGCATTATTGTATTGAAATTATGAAATTATATTAAGTATAATGCTAGTTATTAAATTATGAAATTATATTAAGTATATAAAAAGAAACAATAGTAATAATAAAAATGTGATGATGATGAATATTATTTTTGTATATTTTGTGAATTATTATTTTTTTACCGACCTTTGCCTTTCTTTTTGTTATATTTCATTATCATATTAAAATTATTAAATGAATGTTATTAAATTATGAATAAATAATTAAAAAAAACAGTAGTAATATTAATAATTTATTATTTTTATTAGCAATTTTTACATTTTTTTTTTGCCTATTAGACTTTTGCCTATTAGCTATTGTTTTACTTTTTTACTTTATAAATTATATTAATAATTAAATAAATTAACAGCCGTTATAATATGTAAAACAATTAATTAAATTATTATATTAAAATTATTAAATGACATTAATTACTGAATCATTATAAACAAATATATAAACATTTAATTATTATATTATTATTACAAAGTCAAGTTAAAAAGTTTAATTATTATTATTCAACAGTAAAAGCAGTAAACAACTGAATAAATTGTATTGTTCACATGTTGCTGCCAAAGCTCCAGACCTTTGTGTTCTTTGCTTCCATCCTCGTGCAGTCTGCTCAGCACTCCTTTAAAGATGATTATCTGGGCCCTCTCGAGGTCTGATAAAGCCATGGCCTGTTTGATCGGACAGGGTCTGACGGCCCACTTCACCATGCTCCGCACCACAAACTGCAGCACTGAGCGCAGCTCGGCGTTCTCCTCCCAGCCAGCAGAGGCTCTCGCTGGGTCGGGGCTACTTACATTGACCCCTGCATCTGATTTGGGAACCAGGAGGAGATCTGTGAACTTCCCGCAGCTCAGAATGACAGTCAGAGATTTTAGCGCCCCCAAAAGGAGGTAGGAAATGCGGACTGCGCGCAGTTCCAAAGCAAAGAAGTCCACTCTGGGTTGTGGTGCAAGTATTGGTGGACAGGGGGCACCAACACGCTCCTCGTTTGACTGTATGAGGGATCTGAACGTGTCATCTTGGTTCTCATCTCTCCTCTCTTCCACTTTATTTCTGTCCTCATCCACCGGACAGCTCATTCCCTCTTCGTCCATCATAACACGAGCAATGTCCTCGTTCAAACATCTCTCCAGCTCGCTACGCGGGCCGCCCTCAGAGCTGATTCGGTTTCGTGACAATCCAGATGTTTCGGATGATCCAGAAGGAGGCTCCTGCTCTTCTAACATGCCGGTCATCAGGATGAGGTCGAACAACACAGAGGGCTTGAGGCCACGGCAGCAGGACATGTCCAGCTGGGGGACGTCACACGGCTCCAGGGAGGAGAGAGGCGTGTCGCTGGGTGACCAAGAATTCAGGAAGCTTTGGGTTAGTGGGACCACAGCAGGTCACAAGCAGTATGAAGATGAAGAGAGGAGTGAGACGGAAGGGGCAAGACAGAAATAAAAGAGTGGAAAGGAAAGGATACCATGATTAGAAAAAAAATGAAGGGGACAAAAGACAATACAAGAAAAGGGAAGTGAAGAAATCGAAAACTGAAAAAAGATGCATGCAACTGGCAAAAAGAACAGGACAGGTATAACATACAAAACAATTACAATGGCATCTGAACATAGAAACTAATGACAGTGCTGGAGAACATTAAGTCATAAAGCACTACACTATTTTACTCTAAAAGGTTTTGTATTTATATATATATATATATATATATACATACATACACACACACACACACACACATACACATTCATTTATAATGTGTAAGAAAAAAATTACCTGTCACATTACAGAGACAACACATTTTTCTAAAATTTAATAGTCTTTTATATGGTCACTGCACTAAAGTCAAACTAAATCAATGCAATATTAATCTGACAAAATTTACTTCCAACCACTAATAAAATATTGTTAGATGTATAAATCTTGCATATAAAAAATGAAAAATAATAAATATAACAAATCTGATGTATAAAAAATATATTAGATATATTTATTTCTTACAACTAAAAATAGAGATGTAAATTATTACATTATAATTAATACATTATAATAAAATAAATAATACATTATTAAAATAAAATGAAAAACAGCAAAATATCAAATTCAGTAAATGCATGAAAAATATTATTAAATATATTTTATTATCTTGTGAACTTAATACATTTTGCAAAGTTTTGTTTTCGCTTAGATTTTTTGCAGCCCCCAAACACCCCAATTTGAACCCTTTGCTCTAAAACATTATAAACAATGAGCATTTTTACTATGAATTGCATGACAAAATTTAAAATGAAATAGGTGGAATTTCATTTAATTTTTTATTTTTATAATAAATATTTTTTTATAAAATTAAAAATTTTATATATTTTAAGTCATTTAAAAAAACAATAGTAATAATACAAATATGACAATGATAATGATTAATTATTATTTGTGTATATTTTGTGTATTATTTTTACCGACATTTGCCTTTCTTTTTATTATATTTAATTATTACATAGAAACTATTAAACGAATGTTATTATAAATAAATAAAATTATAAATAAATAAATAAACAGTAGCAATATTAACTGATTATTTTGTATTATTATTTGCTATTTTTTACTTTTGCCTCTTTGATTATTAATAATAATCATAATACATTAAATCATTATATTAAATTATAATATACAATGTAATCATTTGAATCTTGCATTTATTTGACTGTCTGTAAGAATACTGTATGCTGTATATATGTATTTGTGTACTTACCTCACAGTAAAATCTGTCTCCTCCCACTGAAGCTTAGCCATGGGGCTTCCCTCTTTCAAGACCCCGAGCAGAGTCGCCCGTCGACCGCTGGGTTTGTGCAGACAGGTCCCTCCAGCACGGAGACCGCTGTCCACCCCTCCGATCAGGGCCATGACGGGCCAGACTTCAGTGCACAACACGCTAAGCTGGGCGTCGGAGAGCCCCGCTGGGCCAGAGAGGTGGTCTGTCGATGTCCCGACATCTGCCCAAGCAGAGCCCCTCTCAAATTTCTCATCGGACTCCTTACTGGCATGACCTGCTGGCAGAGGACGAAATATATTAACCTTTAAAACACAATTGGCATAGTAACCGATTACAAAAAGCCTTTTCTAAAAAGTAATTAATGGGAAAAATTCTATATTATATACGCTCCTGGAAACAAGACGAGTAATCAACATTTTAAAGTCCAGAAAAATATGTTTTAAAAGTTTCTAAATGTATTTAGAATACATTTTTGTATACATTTAGTTTTTTACATTTACATTTATTAATTTAGCAGACATTAAGTCTGCTTTTTCTGCTAGTTTTTTTTAAATTTTTTTATTTGAAACACCTAGTTTTTATTTCTAGCTTTTATCTATTGTAGCATTTCTATAGCATAGTAAAGCTAACAGACAAGGTCTAAAACATTTCCAAAATGATTCATTGCAATGATGCAACACAAATATATAGACTATATATGTGACCCTGGACCACAAAACCAGTCATAAGGGTCCATTTTTCGAAATTGAGATTTATATAGCACCTGAAAGCTGAATAAATAAGCTTTCCATTGATGTATGGTTTGTTAGGATAGGACAATATTTGGCCGAGATACAACTATTTGAAAATCTGGAATCTGAGGGTGCAAAAAAATCTAAATATTGAGAAAATTGCCTTTAAAGTTGTCCAAATGAAGCTCTTAGCAATGCATATTACTAATCAAAAATTACGTTTTGATATATTTACGCTAGGAAATTTACAAAATATCTTCATGGAACATGATCTTTACTTAATATCCTAATGATTTTTGGCATAAAAGAAAATGCAATAATTTTGACCCATACAATGTATTTTTGGCTATTGCTACAAATATACCCCAGCGACTTAAGACTGGTTTTGTGCTCCAGGGTCACAAGTTAACTGACCTATCTTGCCTTGTCCCTCTCTCATGAGAGGGTTGATGAGCTGTAGTTTGTTCAGCATGTGCTGGTTGATATGTTGAACCCAGTCATCGTTCACGTACAGTCGTCTTAGCAGCTGAATGGTGGACTCCAGCAGAACTGTGGCCCTTGGGCTGCACAAGGGCTCCCCTGGCAGAAGATCGCTAGGCATGCCACGCATCTGCAGGTCACATAGCGCCACCTACAGGCCAGTCGAAGAACAGGAGGGTTTTGAAAGTTGAATTATAATATATTATATAATTATAAAGTTAAAAATTTAACAAACAAAAGTGGTGTAGAGGTTTAAGAGGCTGACCTTTTCTCCTGGGTTGCTGCTGTAGAAAAGAACACAGGGGTAGAGCTCTGTGGCATCCACTCCTTCAAACGCTAGCTTGGGCTCCTACACATACATAAAAACAACTTAAACACCTCATATTTCAGCTTACCCCATATATTTCTATTTTAGGTTCATTACAGTTTTTGCATTATTATTTTATTTTTTTGAAAATTATTTTCCATGTGAATAGAGCTTGAATTTAACCTATTATATTTTCAAAAATTTTGTTTGCAATGCATTTCACATTGTCACATTGTGCATAACTTCATAATTATATTTTATACAGAATATTCAGCAAGAAATAATGTAATACAGGACTTTATCCAAGTTGTTTGGATTTTATTGAAGTTTTAAAAGTATAAATTTTCTTAGAATTAACATATAAAATATATATGTTTTCCAACCAATGCAACTGATGTTATGCAAGCTGAAAATAAAAAAATAAAAAGTTTCACAATTTTTTTTTTAGGTTTTTACAAGAAAAACCTTTTTCCTTCAAAATAATGCGCACAGAAGCACTGCACACATTTATTAAAAAGTCTATTAAATCTATCATACTCTTTTAATTGGGATTTAATTCCAACTTTAAATGTTCTACTAGCTTTAGCAAAACTAATTATGATATTGGAGAAAAAAACAAAAACAACAACAACAACATTATAATATACTGGAGTAAGCAGTCACGTGGTTTTCAGTATTGTATTGGAGATTAATTAATTTCTGTCAAAAGCATGTGATCTATGATGTCCAAAACTCGCCTGTAAACCACATGACTGCTTACTGCAATATGTTATAATATTTTTTTTCCTCCAATATCATAATTTTTATATGAAGTCTAAAGTAACTTTGTCTATGAAATACAGTTATAGGGATATAGGCACATTTAAAATAGACAAATCACAGATTTAAACTATGAATTTGTTGCATTAAATGTGTCAGCCTAAAATAGTAATCACTTTGCCAAAATAAAATAAAATAAAATAAAATAAAATAAGGTCATAAACACACTGACCCTGTTGTTTTTGGCGAAAGAGATTGTTCTGGCCTCCATGTCTAGGATGCAGGTGATGGTGTCACCCTGGGTGAAGGAGGGCAGAGCTCGGCCCAGCTCTCCTCCATGATACAGGCTACCGCTGTAGGCCCGGTACAGCCACATGTCTGTGGTGGTGCGATGGTTGTAGTTATATAAAATATATATAAAAAACACTGAATCTTGTGTTGAAATGACTGACTTTCTTGTTTGGAAGTTTCTTCCTGGATGTGCTCTGTGGAATCCCTCTCTAGCACCTCCTGCTGGTGGACTGCATGTAACAATCCATGCAGCTGCTCGCTCATCACATCCATGAGAGCCTGGGACACTTCCAATGGCAAGGCCTCTTCACAGCAACTGGAGAAACACACACACAGTTTTCTTTAACTGCAGCTGTACAACCTAGATTGTCTGCAGCCAGGTACTGTTGCTGTTATTGGCAGAGGGGATGTTTGTTGATACCAAAACATCCATATGAAATTGTGTTTTGGAGTTTCTTTACTATGCAAAACTGTTACATTAAAGCAATATTATGATGTAGCAAGAAGAATGCTTTCAGTTTTCAAAATGTGAGGTTTTAAGAGCATATCATGGGAGGCGTTTTCTCGTTCTGTATTTAATTATCAAGTTTATAATCTCACCTGGCCGCTATGGCAAATATCTGCAGGAGTCTGGCAGCGGCCAGCTTCACCGCCCCACCGAGCTGCATGTGACCGGACATGGAGGCGGCCAGCCAGCGCTGGTTCACCAGCACGCAGGCATTATCAGTCAGTGTGGACAAGATCTCCAGGACGCCACATTTAATAATCACCACGAGATCCACCGGCTGATAGTGGAAGTTCAGAGTGAAGACTGTAGCTAACAGCAGGTGCTGATAAGAGCCTGAAATGAGACAAATCTATGTTAAATCACTACTTAATCAAACTGGCATATTATTAGAGTACTTGGACTCTGCCAAGCTATAAAATACAGTCAAACTAAATTGAACCACAAAGCAGTGCGATGGTTGTAGTCCCGGATGGGCCATCGGGACACTCCAATACATGTCCCTTCATTTCCTCTATTCTCCTTAGTGATATAAAACTAAGAGATGGAGACAAAAAACATTAGAATGCAGACCCTGTAAAAGACAAGGGACACCAGTGATTGTATTTTGTATTGTTACCTTCCAGATGAAGCATCCAGATGTGATGGCAGTGGTGGCCAAACCGTACCCTTTTCCCCCCGATCCATGAGAGAGTACATTCCCGCTCTCCAGAGAACAACAGATCAGTTTATGAGGGTCGAAAGAGAAATCACCAATAGGAATACATTCATCTTCACTTCCGCTGTCCTGGGGGACACACAAGCACATATAAAACAATCTAAAATGCATGGACACAAATACGATAGGGTAAAATTTGTACAATGAACAGACAGAGGTGTGTTTAAATACCCTATTTGAGTTCTCCAAAGTTCTCTCTTTTTCTAAGTTTTTCCTCAGGGCCAGAGGTTCCTCCCACATGTATGTGGACAAAACGCTAAATAATTGATCAACAATCTGAAAACAAAAATGACATGGTAAACTCTTATTAAGTCAGAATCAATCAACCACCAATCATTTAGTGTCAGGTGCACAGCATTGATAAAAAACAAAACAAAAAAACAAAACACTTATTTTCTCACCTGTTTCATGACAACAGGGTCTGAACAGACAGGGAGAAGAGCTTCTAGAATATGGAAGGCCAGCAGCTTCGTCCGCAGGTTGTGAAACCGTGGATTTCCAGTGTTGCATTTGTACGAGATAATTGTCATCAGTGGATCAATCCACTTGACAAACGCGGAGACTCTTTTGGCGACCCTTAGAGACAAAATGCGTCTTAGGAAGACTAGAAAGTCAGCGAGCTGGGACTCCACAACCCTGCTGCTACGAACTACATCTGCACCTAAAATAAAAAAATATATAATATAATATAATATAATATAATAGTAAAAAACTGTATGTATATACATATACATACATACATACATATATTAGTGCTGTCAAACGATTAATCGCATCAAAAATAAAAGTTTTTGTTTACATATGTGTACTGTGTATATTTTTATGTATATATAACTACATACACGTGTATATATTTAAGAAAAATAGGCAATGTTTATATATTAAATATATGTATATAAATATATAAATGTAAATACATTTAAATATTTTCAAAATAGAACTAATCGTTTGAC